ATTCCTACTTTATTTTTTTTCTATCTTCTTTTTCATTCTTCTTATATTATGTTTCATGTTTTTCTCCTTTTCCTTTATTTTCTTTATAATTTCTTCTAGAATTTTATTTTCTATGTCAGATAATTCAAAATCTAAATATAAAAATATTTTTAAATTTGCGAAAACAACATCGAAACTGCGATCGGAAAAATAAAAAAGAGGGACTGGTAAAAGCATTTACCGGTCCCTAACGTCTATTTTCCGGTCTTAATCGGCAAAACGTTATTTTCTGAACGAAAAATTGTTCAGAAAGTGTATATTTCTGGTCTGGAAAGCAATCTGAATTTAATTGTTACAAATTTATTACTTTATTTAGAATATTTTAATTTTTTGTCGTATCATGTTTTTTGCTAAATTCACTAATTCAATGTACCCGCTATTAAATCTTTTGAGGTACTTAATAAAAAGCAATATTAGTTTCTTTGATCAAATATTCCCACTAGCCCATTTTCAGCGAATAAAAAGATAGCTAACATTGATTTACTGAATATCTTTACAAAAGACGATATCAAACGAAAATCTTTCCTTCATAAATTCTTGAAGAGTACACTTTCCCAAGTGCCGAAATTAATTAATTTTCCCGTTTTGTTCTTAAAACAAAAAAAAAATGTGTTTTTTCGTTCCTAAAAAGATGACATCCTGAATAATCGTTAATGGAAAAGTAACCATTCGTATTTTTAAAGAATAGGAGGAACGTCATAGGAACTAGGGAACTCTCGCTTTTTCTATTCTATAATTATGTGGCATTCCAAAAATATAAGAAATTGTGCCGCTAAAGTAGTATTAATATGTCGCTGGCTGACAGTGTAATATTTCAAAATTCCATTTAAAAATGTTATTTTAATTGTGTGACATCCTGTATAAAAATAGTATTTGATTAATTTAAAATTCGATTTAGATTTTTCGATTTTTCGATTTTTCCATTTTCGATTTTTCGATTTTTCCGATTTTTCCGATTTTTCCGATTTTTCAATTTTTCGATTTTTCGATTTTTCGATTTTTCGATTTTTCGATTTTTCGACTTTTCGATTTTTCGATTTTTCGATTTTTCGATTTTTCGATTTTTCGATTTTTCGATTTTTCGATTTTTCGATTTTTCGATTTTTCGATTTTTCGATTTTTCGATTTTTCGATTTTTCGATTTTTCGATTTTTCGATTTTTCGATTTTTCGATTTTTCGATTTTTCGATTTTTCGATTTTTCGATTTTTCGATTTTTCGATTTTTCGATTTTTCGATTTTTCGATTTTTCGATTTTTCGATTTTTCGATTTTTCGATTTTTCGATTTTTCGATTTTTCGATTTTTCGATTTTTCGATTTTTCGATTTTTCGATTTTTCGATTTTTCGATTTTTCGATTTTTCGATTTTTCGATTTTTCGATTTTTCGATTTTTCGATTTTTCGATTTTTCGATTTTTCGATTTTTCGATTTTTCGATTTTTCGATTTTTCGATTTTTCGATTTTTCGATTTTTCGATTTTTCGATTTTTCGATTTTTCGATTTTTCGATTTTTCGATTTTTCGATTTTTCGATTTTTCGATTTTTCGATTTTTCGATTTTTCGATTTTTCGATTTTTCGATTTTTCGATTTTTCGATTTTTCGATTTTTCGATTTTTCGATTTTTCGATTTTTCGATTTTTCGATTTTTCGATTTTTCGATTTTTCGATTTTTCGATTTTTCGATTTTTGCGATTTTTCGATTTTTAGATTTTTAGATTTTTAGATTTTTAGATTTTTAGATTTTTAGATTTTTAGATTTTTAGATTTTTAGATTTTTCGATTTTTCGATTTTTCGATTTTTCGATTTTTCGATTTTTCGATTTTTCGATTTTTCGATTTTTCGATTTTTCGATTTTTCGATTTTTCGATTTTTCGATTTTTCGATTTTTCGATTTTTCGATTTTTCGATTTTTCGATTTTTCGATTTTTCGATTTTTCGATTTTTCGATTTTTCGATTTTTCGATTTTTCGATTTTTCGATTTTTCGATTTTTCGATTTTTCGATTTTTCGATTTTTCGATTTTTCGATTTTTCGATTTTTCGATTTTTCGATTTTTCGATTTTTCGATTTTTCGATTTTTCGATTTTTCGATTTTTCGATTTTTTCGATTTTTCGATTTTTCGATTTTTCGATTTTTGCGATTTTTCGATTTTTCGATTTTTCGATTTTTCGATTTTTCGATTTTTTGATTTTTCGATTTTTCGATTTTTCGATTTTTCGATTTTTCGATTTTTCGATTTTTCGATTTTTCGATTTTTCGATTTTTCGATTTTTCGATTTTTCGATTTTTCGATTTTTCGATTTTTGCGATTTTTAGATTTTTAGATTTTTAGATTTTTCGATTTTTCGATTTTTCGATTTTTCGATTTTTCGATTTTTCGATTTTTCGATTTTTCGATTTTTCGATTTTTCGATTTTTCGATTTTTCGATTTTTGCGATTTTTGCGATTTTTAGATTTTTAGATTTTTAGATTTTTAGATTTTTAGATTTTTAGATTTTTCGATTTTTCGATTTTTCGATTTTTCGATTTTTCGATTTTTCGATTTTTCGATTTTTCGATTTTTCGATTTTTCGATTTTTCGATTTTTCGATTTTTCGATTTTTCGATTTTTTTGATTTTTTGATTTTTCGATTTTTCGATTTTTCGATTTTTCGATTTTTCGATTTTTCGATTTTTCGATTTTTCGATTTTTCGATTTTTCGATTTTTCGATTTTTCGATTTTTCGATTTTTCGATTTTTCGATTTTTCGATTTTTCGATTTTTCGATTTTTCGATTTTTCGATTTTTCGATTTTTCGATTTTTCGATTTTTCGATTTTTGCGATTTTTCGATTTTTCGATTTTTCGATTTTTCGATTTTTCGATTTTTTGATTTTTCGATTTTTCGATTTTTCGATTTTTCGATTTTTCGATTTTTCGATTTTTCGATTTTTGCGATTTTTAGATTTTTAGATTTTTCGATTTTTCGATTTTTCGATTTTTCGATTTTTCGATTTTTCGATTTTTCGATTTTTCGATTTTTCGATTTTTCGATTTTTCGATTTTTCGATTTTTCGATTTTTCCATTTTTCGATTTTTCGATTTTTCGATTTTTCGATTTTTCGATTTTTCGATTTTTCGATTTTTCGATTTTTCGATTTTTCGATTTTTCGATTTTTCGATTTTTCGATTTTTTAATTTTTCGATTTATCGATTTTTCGATTTTTCGATTTTTCGATTTTTCGATTTTTCGATTTTTCGATTTTTCGATTTTTCGATTTTTCGATTTTTCGATTTTTCGATTTTTCGATTTTTCGATTTTTTAATTTTTCGATTTATCGATTTTTCGATTTTTCGATTTTTCGATTTTTCGATTTTTCGATTTTTCGATTTTTCGATTTTTCGATTTTTCGATTTTTCGATTTTTCGATTTTTCGATTTTTCGATTTTTCGATTTTTCGATTTTTCGATTTTTCGATTTTTCGATTTTTCGATTTTTAGATTTTTAGATTTTTAGATTTTTAGATTTTTCGATTTTTCGATTTTTCGATTTTTCGATTTTTCGATTTTTCGATTTTTCGATTTTTAGATTTTTAGATTTTTTGATTTTTCGATTTTTCGATTTTTCGATTTTTCGATTTTTCAATTTTTCGATTTTTCGATTTTTCGATTTTTCGATTTTTCGCACGAGTTATCGTGCCGACATACATATGCACCGACGACCGAACGAAATTTTTTTTTTAATTTTCGGAAACGTGAAAAAGTTTAAAAAATGGGGGTAAGAAAATTTTTTCATCTGCACGAATTCAATATTGAGGCCCCACAGCTTTTACTAATTCGTCAGGACATTACTGTCCGTATTTCGAATTGGTAAATAAAATAATATACCTGATTTCTAATCCCACTTGATGACAGAGAGTGTTCAAAATTCCCATAAACTATTGTTTTTGTAATGAAAGTATGACTCATGACAAAAATATTCTAATTTATCCGCGTTTCTGTTACTTTTTGTCCTAGATCGTTGTCAACAGAGTTATATGATTCATATATTTATCTTTGCCGGAAATTAGGGATATAGAAGATAAGTAGTCACAGGTTACGTAAAACTGTTGCTTATTTATACGTTTTTCAAATTAAAACATCATAAAAGTCTAGCTATAAAAAATACAGCATTCTGAGTTTATCTCCCCTACTCTGTGGGACACACTTACGTGGTCACCTACAAAATTCGTGTAACTTTTAGGTATTATACCTCCTCCACTACTGGAACAAATACTTAAATGGTTAGCTTCAATATACTTTAGAATGAGTTTTGTCAGCAATGTCACAACCAATAGTTTTGCTATTTCCAGAAAGTCAGCGTTTCCCAAGCCAGGACGCGACATTTCTAAAATTGACTTTTTATATATTTTTGTTCTATTTTTTAAATCGATTACATATTATATATACCATGATTGTTAAAAAAAAGTAGGTACAATATTTAAAGAATACTAGGTCCTGATTAAACTTGTTAAATATGCTTATCTGTGATAGGAAAATTAGAGAAATAGTTGTAAAAATGCTGGTTAGGGTGCGCATGAACAAACTTCAGTGAACAAATAGGCCAACCATAAATATTTGGGATGCTTTTAATATTAAATATAAATAAGCAAATGCAGAGACAAGGAATATTATTTATAAACGTGCAATGTCTTAAATTGCCAGCTTTTTACTCCTAATTGTCTATATCAATAACAGACTGCCAATGTATATCAGTATCAGTGACGTGTTTAGGATCTAGGTCTCGGGGGGGGGGGGGGGGGGGCAAGATACAAATATAACAATACTAAAATATACTATACTAAAAACAAATATTTAATACTAACACTTACCTAAAACAAATAAAAAAATTCTAATAAACTAAACAAAAAAAAACAGTATTAGCACTAACTAGTAAACTTAAAAATACGTATTAAAAAAACTTTTTTAATTATATAATTAATCAGATGACCAGTCTCTAAGGTTCATTCGTCTAGGTTTACTTGTAGCAAACCTAGTAATTATATTATCAATATCAACATTAATTTCTTTATGAATATTAAGTAAAGCCAGACCATTCAAGCGATTTTCAGTCATAGTCGATCTTAAATATGTTTTTAATCGTTTTATATTTGAAAAACTCTTTTCTGCTGTTGCCGTGGACACAAGCAACGTAGAAAATATCTGCAATAATATTTTTATCGACGGAAATACATTTGTCGTAAAACAAAGTGCTTCAGTAGCTGTGGAAGGCAAATTCAGTTTATTAACCTTTTCCCATCTTTTCTGCCACATGATGATTTCAGCTCTCAATTCTTGTTCTGAGATATTAATATCTGCTTGGTACACCAAACTAGTGTTAAAAATTTGTTCTATAGGGTAAATTTTATTATTTTTTGGGATAAGGCCTTCAAGAGGTAATGAGTCATTCCATTTAAAATCGTCCAATTGGTAAAGCTGACCCATCTTAGATTTTGGTGTAACTTTGAAGAACTATTCTTTAGGGTATCAAAGAAGATAATTTATATGAGTTTGATTTATTATAAGCACTCGTTTCCGCCTAGTTAAATAAAGACTTTAAACAATCAACATTTTTAAGCCTTATCGACTTTTCCTCTAAAATTTTTCTTTTTGAAGATAACTACATTATTAAAGTGGAATTCTGAGGGGGAAAGATAGTAGTTTAAGTGTAAGCATCGATAATTTGCTCAGTCAATACCTCTGATTAACGGCAGCGTGCTGAAAATTAGTGTTTTTTAATCATTTTTCGTGAATTTTAATCGACTCTAGCGTCTTAACTGCTTAGACTTAGCAGCTTATGTTCCTCAGGAATTAAGTGTATATATCATAGGTAAAATACAGCCACAAGTCAACCTAAGCAGCCCACTCTTTGCAAAAAAAAAACTTTGTTTGAAGTTTTGAAATTTTCAAAAATTGCATTATTCAGGTTATATAATAAACGTGTTGACTGCCAGATAAAAATCTGAAATTCTTAGAATCTACTGTTCTTACCTTTAACTTTAAATGACCGCTTGTTTTGTTATTTTTATGTTTAGTGCATGTGCAAGTCGTTTTTTACAGCAAAAATCAACTCAATTTTTTTATTTTATAATCTTATAAATTCAGTTTTTCTTGATGTTTTTTCATAAAGATATATAAGAATCCTATACATAGGTCGAAATTTTTTTCAAAATAGAAGCATCTACACGAAAAAAAATGTGACTAGAAAATTTTACTACAATGTTGTAGTAGTAGACTTGTAGAAAAATACTTAACAATTTGTAGAAAATTTTACTACAATTTATAGTTAAAAACTATTCATTATTGTAGCAATTCAATTGTCGAATAAAATGCTACAACAATAGGAAAGAATTCCACAATGTTTAGTATATTTTACTATTGTTTGTAGAAGTAGAAATTTATTACAATTATCATAATTACCACTACTAACTTCTGAAAAAATTTGTACAAATATTAATAATTATCTCTACAAAGAATAGTAATTTTCTCTACAAAAAATAGTAATAATTTACATCCCTTCTTATGAAAAAAATTCAATTTTGTTTAAAAATATTCTATAATATTGTAGAAATTCTAAGTCATGTGAACAAAACAGAATTCTGCTATTGGACAACGTTTTCTGATGTCGATTATAAATGGCCAGACAGCAGTAGCCGTTCGCCATGTTCACATAACAAAGCATGGTACATATACGAGTACCTATAACACATTATTATATTATAAGCACCGATGCGCTTGAGGAAATTTTAATAATAAATTCTATTGTTGGTAAGTACATTTATTATTATTTCTGAATAATTTACCTTTAGATAACTAATTTAAATAACCTTAGTAGATTATTTTAAAAAAAATAGTTGTGGCCAACGATCGAATGTTGTGCCAAACGATCGAATTTTGTGCCAAATTCAATGATGTTTTTTTGTCTTAATTGTGACATACCTACTTTCTCATTTTTGTTAGTTATCTGACTTAGTCATTTAATATCCAAATCAGTGTAAAGGTGATAAATATCCCCGTTTTAAGGGTATGAACAGTTCAATTGTTATTAATTTTTATTTCATATTTTTCAGGTGCAGAAAAGCCAATTGAGACTGAGGGTGCTATTATTATTATTATTTATTACATAATGTAATTAAGACTTTGTATCTTTTACATTAAAACAATAAATTGAATATTTTATTAAGAAACATTTTTTCTAGGTTATAATTATAATAATTATGGAATACTACTACAAGTTTTATTAAAAATTACTACAATTTGTATGAATTTTTACTATTTATTGTGTAAAATTTTTGTATTTATTTTCATAAAACGCAATACATTTTTAATATAAATTCAAACAATGAATAGCAAAAATTATAACAATTTGTAGAACAATTCTTATGATGCGTTTGGATATTTTTACTAAATATTGTAGATAATAACTCTACAATACATTCTCTACAAATATTTGGAAATTTTTACTACAAATTGTCCCTGTCCCTATATGTACTATTTATTGTAGAGACAAAATCTATAATTGTAGAAATTTGTTCTACAATTTTTTTTCCGTGTAGTTATTTGGAAAGAAATAAATAATTGAGTTGATTTTTGCTGAAAAAAAAAACGACTCGTACATGCACTAAACATAAAAATAACAAAACAAGTGGTACGGTCATTTAAAGTTAAAGGTAAGATCAGTAGATTCTGAGAGTTTCAGATTTTTATCTGGCAGTCAACACGTTCATTATATAACCTGAATAATGCAATTTTTGAAAATTACAAAACTTCAAGCAAAGTTTTTTCTGCAAAGAGTGGGCTGCTCAGGTTGACTTGTGGCTGTATTTTATCTATGATATATACACTTCATTTCTGCGGAAGATAAGCTGCTAAGTATAAGCAGTTAAGACGCTAGAGTCGATTGAAATTCACAAAAATTATCAAAAAACACTCATTTTCAGCACGCTGCCGTTAATCAGAGGTATTGACTAAGCAAATTATCGATGCCTACACTTAAATTACTATCTTTCCCCCTCAAAATTCCACTTTAATAATGTAGTTTTCTTCAAAAAGAAAAATTTCAGAGGAACAGTCGCTAAGGCTTAAACATATCGATTTTTTAAAGTCTTTATTTAAATAGGTGAAAAGGAGTGCTTATAAAAATCAAGCTCGTGTAAACTTTCTTCTTTGGGAACTTAAGGAATAGTTCCTCAAAGTTACACCAAAATCTAAAATGGATCGGCAACACTTTTTTTTTATTTTTAGACGATTTTGTATGGCATGACTCAATATTGTTTTTAATCTATCATTAAATCGTGAATTTAGTTGTGATAGAAAGTGATCAATAAAAGGAATAAATATTGAACGTTTAAAATATTCCTCAGGTAATCTTGATTCCATGTTTTCTCGCTGAGTTTGTCGTCAACATACTCTAAAATTAAAATATTGTTGGTGTTGTTGTTTTTACAATAGGTACATTATATAAAAGACTTACCTTGGCAAAATTAATTCTACATCCAAGTTGTTTGCCATGGATCGAGCTGCTAAAAATATGTTAATAAATTCTCTTTGGCTATTTTCTCTAAAATCCTGAAATGTTATTAAAAGGATTTGGATACTTTCAAGTGCTGCTGAAAAGTCCAGTATAGGATTTTGCAACAATTTGCTTAACTTCACACTGTACGCAAAGAAATGTGCACCTATTGCCAAACATTAAAAAATCGCTTCTCCTAATACAGGCATTGTAGCTCATTGCATCAGAAGCGGTATCACGGTCTCCATCGTGTTCTAAATACTCTAAAACTTGTACTATGAATGGAAGCAGTTCCTGAAAGATAATAAGGTTATCGTGTCTTTCTACCCAATGTGTTTCGCAATAGGACTTTAAACGTGTTTTCTTAAAATCGTTACTGTTTTCACTTTCAGTGATCGTTTTCTGCAATAAGTTAACCCGTTTTGGAGAAGCGCTTAAAAAAGTGGAAATTTTGCCGATAATCCCTGTAACATATTACCTAATTTGAGGTAATTATTATATTTGTTACAAATACATGTAAATAAAACAACTATTTCAGTACAGTAGTTTATTCATGACTGTGTCTACAAATCACCGATATCGTTCCAATAGGTAAAACCACTTTTTATAAATATACTTTAATTGGAAAAGAAAACAATAAATTAAATCTAATATACAGAGTGATGCACACCAATTACCCGTACATCACATCTCCCCCCTTAAAATAAATTTAGACATAATCCTTATATATACCTATATTATATATTTTTAACAAAAAAAAAAATTGCAGAACAAAAAAAAATTAACTTTCATAATTTAACCGTTCAGGCGGTTTAACATTTCTTTTTGGTCGGTCACATATTAAACTTTCTGCTTCGTCGTGTGAAGTAACGCCACTGGTATCAGAATTTATTACAGATTCAGATTCAATATTGTTATCACAAATAGCTGAATTTTTAATATGAAATATTTTTATCTGATTCAAATGGCGTTTCCATGACAAGTTTAATTCAGGTATCGTTACAATATAAGTAGCTCTTCCAATTTTTTTAGAAATAACCCCTTTGATCCATGTTTTTACATTCGGTTTACGATAATCGCGCACAGTAACACTTTCACCTGGTTCAAAACACAAAAATCGTTTTCCACCATGATAAGATTTTTGTTTATTTTGACATTTTATAACACGTTCTTTCAATTTTTTATTTGAATTGGGTAAGAGATCATCAAAACGGGTTCTTAAATGACGACCCATCAGCAATTTAGCAGGTGTTTCTTGGGTGGTACTATGAGGTGTAGAGCGATAATCAAACAAAAAATTATTTAAAATGATATTGATGTTTGAAGTATGAGATTTGCCTAGTGCATTTTTTAATGCATTCTTGATTGTTTTTACCGCGTTTTCGGCCGCGCCATTAGACGAAGGATTATATGGGGGAATCGTAATATGGGTTGTTATTTTTTTGTAAGGAACTCCTCAAATTCAGCAGAACAAAATGATGTTCCATTATCAGTACAAATTTGTTTAGGTAATCCAAATCGTGCAAAACAAGACCTTAAAATATCGATTGTTAAAGTTGAAGTTATTGAATTCATTGGAAAAACCTCTATCCATTTACTATGGGCATCCAAAATAATTAAATACTGTTTATTGAGATATGGGCCCATAAAATCGAGATGAAGTCTATGCCAAGGTTGCTCAGGATAAGGCCAAGAATGCAGAATTGATTTATTGGGTGCTTTTTTATTTACTAAACAAGTTGTGCAAGTTTTGCAAACTTCTTCAATTTGTTTATTTAAATTGGGCCACCAAAAATAAGATCGGGCCAAGCTTTTCATTTTAACTGCTCCCATATGTGAGGCATGTAAACTTTGTAAAATGTCTTTTTGTAAACTACTAGGAATAACTATGCGATTGTTCCACATTAGACAACTAGACTCTATACTTAATTCA